TCTCTCTCTCTCTCTCTCTCTCTCGACTATAAAATCATATTTATTAAATGTAATAATAAATGAATACAAACTACAAATGACTCATTTGATTGATGAAATGGTTTGCTTAAAAGTGTCAAAATGTTTACAACAAATACATTATTTTAGATGTTATGTTATTTTGGAGTACAATATATGGTTGACAACATTTCGGGAGTACCGGTGCTCTCAACCGGTATGCTATAAAAGTACTCATAAGTACTCGGTTTTCCTTGTATTTAATACAGGGGTTAACTATTTTAATGAAGGTTAATAGAGGGTGAGAAAGTACCATGATCATTTATGTTTTTATTTGATTATTTTAATCTAATTGGTAATAATAAGCTACAAAAAAATTAACGATATGTGGGTTATAACATGGGCAGCAATTAAAATTTCGACATGATCACCAAGTAAACTTGGTTACCTAACAAGTACTTGCAATAATTATCAGGAAAGTAAAGATCACTTTACATGCAAAACGTACCCAAAATGAATTAAATAACACTAAAATTGTATACAATATATTGTATTCATCAAAAATACCACATTTTGTAAAAACAAATTTTTAATTAAAAACATATTCACAAAAAATAAACTAGTTAAAATTAAGACCAAAAATACCTGGTTATTTAATGAATACCAGACACAGACAACTGTGCCATCTATGGTAAGTACTCGTTGCGCAGACATCACATCCCTGTCCATCACCACAGCTGTGAACGTCACTACAGTCTCTCCATTAATACACAGCAAACAGTGTTGGAGTTCAAGGATATCCCCTTCAATACAACACAAACAGAGTGTATAACAAGTATTTCCACTTTATTTTGCAGCAAAACTTTTTAAATTCTCAATTCTGAGTACATTTGTATTGTAAACACATTTAGATTTTTACAATCAAACGATTGGCACTTTATTTTGTGCCCAGACTTTGATCCCAACTTAACCACTGATTGTGTCAATACAGTTATTCACATTAATTAATGTAATTTATATTTAAACATCACATTTTAGCGACACTTGTAACAGCAAGTACTCAAATCATTTCATTAATTTCACCCTAATATAAATTGGTGAAATATTTCTACCAAGTACTATTGTGTAATTAAATCAAATTTAATTATTAACAACCAATCATGACATCACTTATACGAGGTATGTGTAAATGGCATTAATTATAACATGCTGAACAAAATGAACATGCTAATTATCAACAATATTGCTAAATAACCATAATGTTTGTGTGTTTATTGTAGGCGTTTTCATAGTGGGGGCCAAACGGACCCCATTTGGCGCATACGGCGGTGCCTTACGGGACGTGTCGGCTATAGACTTGGGAATAGTGGCCTCAAAGGCCGCACTACAGGCCGCCAACGTTAAGCCCGAACTCGTGGACTCCGTTACCGCCGGTTGTGTCACTCAAGTCAGTGCTGCTCTTAACAGGCATTGCAATCGCAATCTCAGCCTAAATGCCATTAAATAAATTGTATTAATTGTTGTATTCATACAAATGATATGAGTGTAGGTGTCGTCCAATGAGGGACCGATGATCGCCCGATCGGTTGGCCTCAAGTCTGGCGTTCCCCTACCGGTGCCCTGTCTTACTG